TATACACACTCATGCATATTCTAGAAAAAAAATAGATGTATGTTTTTTTTTAAATGCTGTCTTGGTTCGAGTACGACACTCGAGGTCGTCCCTTCACTTGACCGTCCGTCTGAACACGTCACCCCCGCAGGAGATCCGAGAGGATGGCTACTATGTCATCGCTGATGCCTCTCTCGCCCGAGTTGTCACTGCTGATGTAAACACGCGCGATCATTAGGCACTCAGTTTAGACGTTTTTTTCTTTTCCCTTAAAACTGTCTGCCACTACTTGAGAAGTTGAGATGCTGATTTGGCTAACATAAGCGGCGTCTGATGCTCTGAAAACAGTACGATCCCGTGGAGCCGTGGAGGACCGGTGGCGAGCGACGCGGAAGTCGCGAAGCGGGCCGGCTCCACGTCTCCCGTCCGGGAACGAATTTAAGCCCGAGGGGACAAGTTTCCGATCATTCTTCCTCCTCCTCCCCTCCGTATAATAAGATCCATCCGTCCATCCTCTAATCCCGTAGCAGCCAGCGTAGCCTAGCCGCCCCCACCTGCTCTCCTCCGCTCCGGGATCCATCCGTCCACCCAGGCCGTCGTCGACCTAGGGTTTTGTGCAGACCATGGCGCGGAAGATGCTCAAGGACGGGGAGGCGCCCGCCGTCGCCGACGCCGACGGCGGCGGGGGCGAGGGGAGCTACGACTACGACCTCTTCGTCATCGGCGCCGGCAGCGGCGGCGTCCGCGGCTCCCGCACCGCCGCGGGATTCGGGGCCAAGGTCTGCGCGCCCCCTCCCTCCGCTTGCTTGTTTCCCCTCCTCATCCCCCCGCATCCCGCTGTTCGTTATCCAGCTGAGATTCTGAGGTGGTTTTCTTCAGGTTGCGATCTGCGAGCTCCCGTTCCACCCCATCAGCTCCGAGTGGCTGGGAGGACACGGCGGAACGTAAGCACAATCCCGAATTACCTGCCTCCTCTGCATTTTTCTTGCTGGAATTGCCCTCTGAATCTGTTATCTGTGTGTGCTCGCTGCGTTTAGGTGCGTCATACGTGGCTGTGTCCCGAAGAAGATTCTCGTCTACGGGGCATCTTTCCGGGGGGAATTCGATGTAAGTGGTCTTATGCAAGCTAGTAGCTGTTGTTGTCCTGTGAAGTATGTTAAAAAACAGTACTGCTATTACTTTGCCTAAAAAAAACAATATCACCTCCTCAGTTGACCAAACTGTCAGATGTTGCCGCACAACCACCATCCTTGGGCTATAGCCAAACTATTGTAGCTGCTGGCATCAAATCCAATTATTCTTTTACTCTTTAACTTGTGTAATCTACATTGGGAGCAGTGTTCTGGTGTGCTTATTTTCATAACCTGTGTGACGAGTGCAGGACGCCAAGCAATTCGGGTGGGAGATCAACGGGGACATCAACTACAACTGGAAAAAGTTGCTGGAAAACAAGGTCAGGCACATACACATCACCTTGGCTGAGCACATTCATCGTTCATACTGGGCACTAGTATAGGTGCCTGTGACCCAAGATCATGATTCTTTGTCCTGCAGACTCAAGAAATTGTGAGATTAAACGGAGTGTACAAGAGAATCCTTGGTGGTTCTGGCGTGACGATGATCGAAGGGGCAGGGAGTATAGTTGATGCTCATACCGTTGAAGTCACCCAGCCAGATGGTTCAAAGCAAAGGCACACGACCAAGCACATATTGATTGCAACTGGTAGCCGGGCAACTCTGGTCGACATTCCTGGAAAGGTTTGGGAAGTTCCCCTTGAGAATTTTTTTATGTTACATCTATTACTGGGTGGTGTTAGTGCTAACATGTTTTCTTAGCTCCTCTGTCTTCCTCTGCCTGTGTTTCTGTGGTTTCAGAATGTTTAATTTTCGACCATGTGATGTACTCATTGTGATTGTATTCTCATTAGTGCTTCACATGAATAATTCTTTTGGTTTGGAACATGCTTACTTAGCCATCTCCGTCTGCCTTTGGGTTATCGAGATTTTTTTTTTTTTACATTTCACTTATTTCTGTATTCTTCATGATCATTCTGCCCTACACCAATGGGGATATTCAATTGCAGGAGCTGGCTATTACTTCAGATGAGGCTTTAAGTTTGGAGGAGCTACCGAAACGTGCTGTGATTCTTGGTGGCGGGTATGGTTCTAGATTTATTTAAGTACCCTGTACCATACTGTTATTATTTTTTATTACCAATTCTTCCTAACCAACCGCGTCACTGCAGATATATTGCTGTTGAATTTGCTTCTATCTGGAAGGGGTTGGGTGCTGAAGTAGATCTATTTTATAGGAAAGAACTTCCTCTAAGGTATGTAGGTTGATCTGCTGTCACCATGGGCACTGCACAAAATTTCTGGTCCTTTACCCAAATAATATACTGCATAAATTCACAAGAATTTTCATGTAGTTTGTGCAGTTAGAGATGTCATGTCACACTAGCATGTGCCTGAAGTCGATATTGGCCCGTTTTTTTAGCTGCAGTGTCACTTGTTTTCTTAAGGCACTCAGTTTAGTTTCCTAGACCATTATGATGTTCCGCTTGCACCTGAAAGTAAAAAGGCACCCAAGCAATGTATTTTTGTGTGGTTTAGCATTATACTGAAAAGTGGATGGTGTGATTTTTAGCTTTTCCATTAAGTAGTGATTGACATTGTTCAAATTGTTTGGAACCTGTTATGTGCATGGATTGCATTAGGAAGTATATCTAAATAGAAATAGAATTTTATTTAAACAGGAAATAGAATTGTTTAAATAGGAAAGAGAAGATTAGAGTTAGAGCTTGGATTGGTCTCCTTCAAGTTATCACTTATGGTCAAGTAGTCCTCCTATATAAGGGACAACATATGTACCCATAATCAGTCAAGAAATAAGAGAAAAACTTATCAATCTATCATCTCCCTTATTCATCCTCCCAACCCTATGGTCTGCTCTCCAATCCCTGTGCCATGATGTTTGGACATCTTCATGCCAGTAGTTACTACCCAGGTTGTTGCAGACTCTAGTAGAACCCAAACCCTTGCTCTGATTATAATTTTAGAACATGTCTGCGTAAAAATAAATTATGCCATTGGCATTTAGTATTCTAAATTCTTATATATTTCACGTCGTGGAGTTCTCCAAACATTAGTATCTGACAGAAAGGTGAACGTAACAATACACTGCCACTTGTAGGGGTTTTGATGATGAGATGAGAACAGTTGTTGCAAGTAACCTTGAAGGAAGGGGAATCCGATTGCATCCAGGGACAAATTTGACCGAGGTGATTTATGCTAAATTCATAAAGTTCAGTTCGCTTTCCTTATGTTCAGGGTGCAGTTTGTCTTGATCAATTTCATTTATGTAAACCAGTTGAGTAAAACAGCCGATGGCATTAAAGTTGTGACAGATAAGGGGGATGAGCTCATTGCAGATGTTGTTCTTTTTGCTACAGGTAATTACCATGTTTTGTTTGTTTGTTTTGACACTAAGTTTATCTGTTCCATTTAAGCACTTGCACATCATGCAATCAATAAAGGGATAACCCGACACCTCCTGGTTACTTGTGTCTGTAGAGCAAAAAATATACTGTTTTCTGAAACTTGTACTGATTTATATTTTAAAAAGATAACTATCCACTTATTTGTTGTCACATATTAATCTGTTGTGGCTGGATGTGGAAGAATCAGACACTTCTGGTTTCCTTGCTCTGTTTAGAATGTAATATTTATTTTGCATTGAATATGCAAGTTCAGAATTATTCTTATGCCTGGTTTTTAACTTGTGCAGGTCGTGCGCCGAACTCCAATAGGCTGAACCTGGAAGCTGTTGGTGTTGAGGTTGATCAAATAGGAGCCATCAAGGTTTATCTTCTTTCTTTATTCACCCTTTCTGTACCTCCTAGTTGATATTATATACTCTTATACTCCCTCTGTAAATAAATATAAGAGCGTTTAGATCCCTATTTTAGTAATCTAAACGCTCTTATATTTCTTTACGGAGGGAGTACATTGGAAATTTACTTCTCATATTTCTGTTTCTGCCCTGACAAAACCACTTGTGAACTCGGGTCTGTGTCCATATTATGCACTGGGCATGCTATTAATTTCTGCATTGTATACTCTTGGCAATCCGAAGCAATATTTACTTCTCATATCTCTACCCTGACAAACCCACCTGTGAACTTGGGTCTGCGTCCATATTCTGCACTTCAGTTATGCTATTAGTTTATGCATTGTGTGCTTCAGGCATTCTGAATAATACGATTTTCACGTCTGTTTAGGTTGATTGGGTCTGTGTCCATATTATGCACTGGATTTGCTATTTAATTTCTGGATAGTATATAATTTTGGCACCCTGAATAATATAGTTGTTAATTTTGGCTTCATGTCTGTTTAGGTTGATGAATACTCCCGTACATCAGTTCCAAGTATATGGGCTGTGGGTGATGTAACAAATCGGATTAACCTAACACCTGTTGCTCTGATGGAGGCTACTTGCTTCGCTGTAAGTGATAGCTGTTGTTTGTAATCCCTTGACAGTCACTGGTTCTGGTCGTTCTGCTTGTAGTCTTTGTTTTTAAAATCAGCACTATTTATTCTTCCCTATCTTTTCATTGCAGAAAACTGTATTTGGTGGCCAGACAGTTAAGCCTGATTATAAAGATGTACCTTGTGCTGTTTTCTGGTAAGTAATTACCTTAATTTAGTTAAAATTACTTATTTTATTCTTGGATTTAGCAATTAGTTTCAAGCTTTTCTCTGAGAAACATGTGGTTACGAACTTTGCTCATGTCACTACAGTTAGAGATAAAAATGACAAGATAGCTCCTTTTGTGTCAATGAAACATGCTCCCATTTACCCGTAAAAACCTCTGCTAAGACTACCACTAGCTTCTGTGTTTTTTGAAATGTGCTATTTTATTGCACTATCATCCCCTCAGTGTTATAATGTGAGATTATGGATTTTGTCAAATCAGCATTCCACCGCTATCTGTAGTCGGTCTCAGCGAACAAGAGGCTTTGGCGGAAGCCAAGAATGATCTTCTTGTTTACACATCAAGTTTCAACCCAATGAAGAACAGCATATCCAAGTAAGTACCTGATGTATCATGAGATTATCTGTTACACAGTAGTTTTGATTCTCACTTTCTGTGCTCATTAAAAGATATCTTGGTGTTTTCACTGGTTTGTGCACCAATGCACTCTATCAACTTTCTGTTAGTTACTAAGTTCCTTATTCTCGTGGGGAAGGTTTCTTATTTTGTTTCTTTTTTATTAATCTTAAAGACGCGTGGAGAAGTCTACCATGAAACTGGTGGTTGATGCTGAGACCGATAAGGTTCTCGGAGCAGCCATGTGTGGACCAGATGCAGCTGAAATTATGCAGGTATAAGCATTTGTGGAATTCCCGTGTTCTTTTTTTTAAGATGATTTATTTTTCTGTTACCCGTTCGATGCATTCTATTCCTAAGCTTGTAAACGACACAAATGCAGGGCATTGCTGTTGCGCTCAAGGCTGGAGCTACCAAGGCGACCTTCGACAGCACCGTAAGTCATCGGAACAGATCACCGCCACATTACGACGGTGTCTCGGATATCAGTGTTTTTTCAGGTTCTAAAAATGGTACCCTGTTGGCTGGCTTTGCAGGTCGGCATCCACCCTTCTGCGGCGGAGGAGTTTGTGACGATGCGGACCTTGACCAGGCGCGTGAGCCCGCCATCCAAGCCAAAGACGAACTTGTAAGCAAGTTGCCTGCAATGTTTTGGACCAAAATTATACGGGTGTGGCCACGGGAACTGTAGACACAGACTCTTGTTTCAGTTTGCTAGCCCTGCTCTTGGCATTTGACCTGAAAGTGTGATACGGTGTATTTGATGATGATAGAAATAAGTTTCTGTGGAACAGTTTGTACAGAAATCCTGGGTGTTGTCATGATTTCCAACCCAAATAAGCCCTTGATGTTGAAATGTTTTCCCATTTTATGGCCTGCAGTAGTCCCTGAATATTATAGGCTGCTCATTTGCCTTCAGGTTTCCGTCTCCCAAGTTTTGCTGTTTGTTCTAGGGGAGCCTTCAGCCCCGATTAGGCAACCCGGCGCCTGCAGGTTCCTTGGTTGGGCCTGTTTCGATGTTGGCCCATTCCAGTACACGCAGCACAGCGGAATTCATTAAAAAGCGCAAAAAACTGTGTAAAAATAAAGCTCCCCTTATTGACCAACCACTCTACTAAGCAAGCTCTAGTGAATAATTAGGGCTTAAAATTTTTAAGAAGTAAGTATAGCCACGCTATTTACTGCATATACAAATTAGAAGAATGTGTTTTTTGAAATAAAAATGTGATGAAAATTTGAAGGTTCGCAGATTTCAAAACAAACCACGAATTAAAAAGGAGTTGACAAATTCAAAGAATTTCCATGAATTTGGGAAAATTTCATAAACTTGAATTTTTTTCATCATTTTGAAAATTAGTTCATCGATTTTGCAAAAAGTTCATTGCTATTGAAAAAAATATATTCAATTTTGAAAAAAGTTCATCAGTTTTGAAAAGAAAGTTCATTGATTTAGAAAAAAGTTCATCAATTTTTTCAACATGTTCATCGAATTGAAAATAGTTCATCAACAAAACAAAGTTCATCGATTTAAAAAAAATCATTGATTTTCAAAAAGTTCATGTATTTTGAAAAAGTTCATCAAAAAATATATGAAAAAGTTCATCAATTTGAAAAATCAAGTTCACAAAAATGTTTATCAATTTGGAAAATAAGTTCAAAACATCGAATAGTTTTCATCGATTTGAAAAATAAGGAAGAAGAAAAAAAAAGAAAGAAAAAAGGAACAGAAATGTAGTACTAATAAAGAACGCGAAAGATGAACAATGTCAGATGATGTAGTGTGGCCGGGTGGTTAGCGCGTCGCGCCTTAGAGCATCTCCAACAGTCATCCAACGCGTTGGCGGAAGAAATGGGGTGGCGTGGGCGGTGGCGGCTAGATGGGGTAGGTGGAGTTGCGATCAGGCGCTCGAGTGTCCAGCGCGCGGGAGCGGGTGCAGCAAATAAACGACGCGCGATGGCGTTTTCGCCCGCGCGCCGAACTGGTTATGCCACGCGCGCGGTTTTTGCGCCTCCGCTGGAGCGCCCGGAGCGGTAGCGCGCGTGCAAAAAGCACTAATTTTTCAATGCAGCGCTTATATAGCGCGTCTGTTGGAGATGCTCTTAGTATAGGAGGTCACCGGATCGACTCATCCCTCCCGCAATTCTTTTGCGTTTCTGGAAATAGGAGAAAGAAAACCTACAGATATATGGGCCAGCCCAATTAACGCGGCTGCAGGCGCCGGTTAGGAAAATTGCTTTTAACCGTAGGGTTTGCCTTTGTTCTAGTGGTCGGTCTCTGGTCTTTGTCTGGGCCTTGGCCTTCACTTGTGGGCCATACAAAGCTGAGGTAGATAGATATCAACAACACGGGAAATGCCCTTTGGTGTATATACACCTGATGTGGGGAAAATAATAGTAATAAAGTCAAAAAAGTTCATAAGTTTTTTTGAATCAACTTGCGCACAAGAACATAAAGTTTTACGAATAAAAAACTGTGGTGGACTTCAGGGCCAAAAACAACAATTTATTGCTATATATAAGTAACATTCACGCTTTCATGGCCTGTTTTTTTGGGGTTTTTTTGCCCTGAACTCAATGTTTTTTTTCTTCCATGGAATTATTTTTTACGAGTACAATGAAAGGTCAAGTATATTTTAAAAGTATTTTCAGATATTTTTGAATTATTAGGGAATAGCTTCCCCCCGAGTGCAGCAGAGTCGCCGATTGCCTTGACCACCAGCAGCCTTGGCGTTGCCGACCCGCGGCTCTGCGAGGCTGCCTGCCGGCTCAGTGCCTGCCAACACAAAAATGCCAGACATACAGGATCTTACAGGCAATTACAGGCTTCTTCTAAACTAACTAAACATGCCTCCTCCCCTGATTTTCAGGTGGGTGGGCCCTTGCTCCCCTTAATCTTCAATTAAAAACTGGAGCGCATCA